CTGCATGACTGGTAGAAAAGAAATTGGAAATATAATTAATATGTATAATCTTGTGCTACTGTTATGATAAAGGTAAACTTGTTCCACATTTTTTGCATCAATTCCTTCTCCGAAATTGGCCCAACCAGGTCATTGACTAACAACTTGCATATATAAATTTTTTTTAATAGGTCCTTGACTACCGTGAGAATGTTTGTAGCTTGATGTAGGAACTACAAGTTGATCTATCTATCCAATATAAACTAGATCATGATCCCTGCCATGCCCATTTATGAGGAAAAAAATATATATATGCTAACAATAAAAATTACAAAAAATTACTAATGAAGTTTAGATTAACCTAACATATTATATAAGAAGCCAAGGATGCTCCATGTAGAATTCATATTGCCCTTCAACTTGTTGGTCCAACTAAATCTTAAATTGATTCTCCCCCCTCCAACCACCAACACCACCAAAGAAGTGCAAATGCCTAGTACGTTGACTGTATTTGTTGCCTTAATTGGCCAAACAAGCTAGTTTAGATTTGACTAGATGGACCTCATTTTCAAGTTAACGAGCTAGTTGGTAAGAACCAATATGCCAACTAATGGTTAAGAAATGTGATAATTATCTAATCAAAGTTAAATATTTTTCATGGATGCAAATAGGTTCCAAGGATATGAGCAGGGAACTTTATCGTCGCCCTACCATCCTTGTCCTATGTCACCCCGATTGGAATGTACAGGTATCTTATATTTCTTGTTTTGAAGGACTTATTTTTGGTTCTTGGAGTGTAAACTTGGATTATCTTTAATTTTTGCTGCAAGAAGAGGTTTGATGTCCAAAATTTCCTATCTGGGTTTGACACAGCGGAGGAAATCTTTGGCCCAGTTCTTCTTTGCATGAAGGTTTGGGTTCAATAATTCCCTCTTGCTTCCTCTTGTAACCAAAATTGTTTATCTTAATAACTGGAGATTTACTGAGATAAATATTCATGTTCCCCATGTCCAGGCCTGAACAAGCTTAGAAGAGGCCATAAACATCGTTAACCAAAACAAGTACTTTATCATAACTCATCTTTGCCCTCATTTTCATTATCAAACTTATTGTATCATCAATAATGTTTAGTTATCCTCTTGTAGATATGGCAATGGAGCTGCTATTTTCAACCACATCTGGTGTAAGTTGCGAGGAAATTTCAGAATGAGAAAATTGAAGGCCTGGGCAGTATTAAGCACTTTCTATCATGGTCTTGTCTAGTTTACAAGCATATGAAATACAAAATGGAGATTGAACCTAAAAATGAAATGATAATTTGATATATTTTGCACTGCATTTGGCCTATTTATCACGAGTATGGAAGATATTGACCGTAAGATAAGTAGTTCCACAATAACTAAGACGTGTTTGTTTTTTCTTTTTCTTTTCCTTTTAGTTGCTTCTACTTGCAACAAAAAACTAATACAGAATTGGAACACTAACCCTCTATAGAGCTGTGGGACCCCACAAAAAGGTGGGAACACCACTCAGGTGGAGAGGTCCTGTCCGATTTTTGTTATTTTACTTTTACGTCTCCCCCCCCCCCCCCCGGCGATATCCTAGGACAATAGTTTACTGAAGAAAAATGTCATTATGATTGGATTTGTGTGTAAACCTCTGACATTAACAAGATATGGCTCAGGTCGCATCAATGTTCCTATTCCAGTCCTCTACGCCCTTTTTCCTATTTACT